TTCCGATGACGTCGCTGATAACGCCACGCCGACGATAATACCGGAAATGGCATCTCCCGGGGTCGATCCTGTTGTCGCCGCCGCGACTGGCCAATTCGCGAAACACGTTATTTGAACGCGCTCCGCGCGTGAGGGAAAATCCGCATTTTCATAAATTCTTTTTTCCCCCGCATCCGACGCGAATTCTCAATGGCACGTATGTATATATGTGCGCGAAACCGGGCGGAATTATGGGTTGCGACACGTCGCAGACGGGAACTCGTTCGTGCAATAACGCGGAGAAAAAACGATAAATTTGGAAAATGTTTTAACCCAATTAGATAAGTTAATGATACGTTTTATCGCGGGGGCACTCTCGCTGAGATAAACCTGCCATGGATACGAAAAATAATAATAATTATCCATACGTAGCGTATATTTAGGCGAAACTTTTCGCTGAAACGCGCTTTTCGGGTATTAGCGGAATAACTGGCGCGGCACGCTCTGCTCAAGTACGAACACACAACGCCGCGCAAACACAAGCCGCGTGGCTCTGAGCGGCTTCAATGTGCACTTAGTGAAATGAGAATTAATAATTTCCGCGACCCGTATATCGCCTGTGTGTGTGTGCGCTGGCGCAACGATGTCTCACCGAAAAAATTTGCGATATAGAGCGCCGGCGATAAGGACCGGACCGGACCGACGCCAGCTATACTTTTGCCGCTTTGGACTTATCGCGCCGGTTGTTATTCGCCGGTTTGGCGTGGTGGTCATTATCACGCTCGCGGAATGCGGATAAAGCGGGAAACAATGAACCGGCGCGGGATTTGTGGTGATTTCTGTATTGTAGTTTCTTTTTGTCAGCTTCGCCGGATATATGACTCGCGCATGCAATGAGCAAAGCGAGCGAAATTGCCTTCGAGAAATTTGTCAGAATCGTTCTGATGAATTAATTAACGAGTTTCATCGGTATATCTCTATAAATTTCTCGTATTCATGAGCAGTAAATAAACTGTGTCGATGTTTTCACAATTCTCAGCTGACGCCGGCGCGCGATCGATCGATTATCGAAGAGCAATTATCACAGCGCGAGCGATCAACTTCTCATTTACTCGACATCGTGGAGCAAAAAAAAAAAAGATTTGACCGGCGATTGATGAGATTGGACAGTACGGGCGCTACAGATATACGAATGGAGAATTTTTCGTAACTCTCGGATTAGTGAGCATCGCGCGTTGCCACCTCCGGAAAAAACGGGAGGTAGGAGAGGCACGGTGTGGTCGAATTCAATAAATCTCGCCCGGCGATAGTTTCGATAAATGGTTTTGATACGGAACACGGGCGGACTCCATCCCGTAATCCGCTATAACGTGCCTGGTTTTCGGCTTGTGACATCAATGTCGTTGAGCCTCTTCGAGCACAAAATAGAATATAGGACGGCGCGATTGACACGAATTCCTTTCAACGACACGCGAATACGCGAATACTGTCTCTTTCTTTCTTGTCTGCTTATCTGGATGAATTTCTCTTGTCATGTCTCTTATTTCATTACCCCTTCCTACGCGGCTAGCTAAATTAGACATAACTTTGTGATAATCATCCGCGTGATTGTAATGAACAAACTTTATTTTCTAACAAATATAATATGATAATGGCTTTCCGAATCGTCGCAGTTGTTGGTGCGAAAATACTTTATTTTTCATGTCGAAAACTATTCGTTTATGTCGAGACATTAAATATACACCGATCTCAAATTGAGATATTAATAATATACTAAAATTAAGTGCATTTATCTCACAACGGAGAATCAGAATGTACAAATTAGGCAAATATAAGAAGGAACAGCGAGAGAAAAAATATTAAGACTGAGACTTAAACCGGGCGAATGTTTTTATTAAATTACTATTTTCTAATCTTTATAACATTTTCTGCATAACAAGAATTAATTGTTACATTTATACAATTTTTTATTTATTCTGATAGTTTTAAAATAACGATGATACATTTAATATTTATTGAAACTTGTTAAAATTGATTCGGATCGCAAAACAATTAGTATTATGTTCTCTTTTCTCAATTTAGATTTACAATTCCTATTATTTCTTAATCCCAATTTTTTTATAAACTTTTTCAAAGTATCGTGGATTATTTATAATAAAAGACTCTTTACAATTTTACAATATCAGAAATTATGAAGCGTATGTCTGATACTTGCGGTATATAAAATATTAATACTAATTTGTAAAATATCTATTTTCTTACTTGATTATTTTATTAAATAATATTTTTGAAAGCATATGTGGGTCGCGCGGAGGGCATCGATCCGTACTTGCTGGATGGAGAATTAATATCCATAACTACCGCTGCGTTGTTCATGATAAATGTAATGAAAAATGGCAATCTTTGTTGAATATGTCAATGCATTTTCTCTCTGATATTTGAGCGCAACGTTAGAGAGAGAGAGTGGATCTCGTAAAAAAAATGTGCATCAACATTTATGTATATCACTCCATTGATGCGCACAGTCGAATGGGATTTGTGATCACTGGTGCTAGTCACTAGATTAATCCTTTTGATGAAGCAATAATTGGTATGCAATCCTGTCGCCGTTTGCCTTTTTTTTTAAATAATTTTGTTGCACAGAATTCACTACGAAAAGCGGTTATTGAAAATTGCGGTAAAATACAACGCGGAAGCTGATAAAAATTTTCCGCTAATACGCGAAGCTTGCGAGCGAAGTGCAATATCGAGCGGAAGTACTTAATGGATTTCTGGCGCACGAAAGAACTGGGCTAAGAGATGCTTTCTTCCGCCGAAGATATTTAAGGGAACGGACATCATCGCTGGATGAAGCGGTGATGCTTAACGCAGTGACTCTACCGCGGAAATACAAATCCCCTCTACAGATGTTGCTTTTAACTGGAGCGGAACATGATAATGGACGAAGTGTTAATTTCTATGTTTGAGAGGATGAATTGGTTTGCGGCACTGAGTGATGCGCTCGATCGAGTCCGAATGATGATAAACTCGTGTATGACGTCAACGATTTCAGATTGTTTCGAACGATTTCGAGACAGTGCGCGAGCAAGGGAGAGGACAATTTCCAATTCAATTATCGAGAGTTTCACGGGTCATTCTTCAATCGAGGAGTTATGTCCACGATCATGCCTACATTATACAGTTGTGTAACATTTTAATATATGCATAAATCAGATGCGTGTCGAGTTTCTACGAGAAACATAATTAGTCTGCAATGAATAATCATTAACGTCGCGTGGATTGATTTGCATGGATATGCGACTTTCGCCAATCAACATCGCGCGCAAAAGAGCGCGGTGGGAAAACAACTCAATGCACTCGGATAGAATGTTGGAAAAAATCTGCGCAAGCGATTTATGGTCGAAGATATCAGCCCTGGCTTCCCGCTCATTCTGTCGCGTGTTATTTATTTTGTCACTTTACCATATTTCGTAGTGGCGGAGCATGATTTGAGGGTGACCGTTCGCGAGCCCGGCGAAATTTTATGCAATTCCACCGGTCTCGCTTTTACGGCGGCACAAATTTACTTAAAATTCGGAATAGAGCCCGACATTAAGTGCGGTTAAACCGCATTGTGGCCTGGCCATACAAGCCGTAGGAATGGCAGCATTTCGTCGCCGTCACATACCGTGGTCGGCTGGTATTAACAAAAGAGTGACACGAAGCGTTTTCGTTTCCGCTTAAAAGTATTGACGTGAAGTGTTCGGTAAAACGAACGCCGCTTTTGACCCGCTTTTCTCTCGTGCGCTTTATTTTGGCCGAAGGCGACAAGTTATTGCCGATATTATTGTCATATTAATGTTGTTTGTTATTATATTAATTATTTAACATATTTCTCTCTTTTCTCAATCAACCATGCACTATGTAAGCAGTCGCTAACAAGGTGTCTCTGTGAATACTTTTGTGCGCTTAACGTCTGCATTTTCTTCTACGCGCCTTCCACTTCGCCTTTGTGCATTAACTTAAAGAGACTCTAATGCCACTTTAGCAACGCCTACTTTACGTAACTTACGAATAGTTTTGAGATAGCGTAAGCAGTTAATTCCGCCGTACATTCTTCGCTCTTCGGTGTTGTTAAAATATACATCTCTCCGCGAACGATGCATAAAGATCCTTACGCGAGGAGAATCGCCCAGAGCTATGTAATTTCTAATTCAGTTAACAATTTCGGCAGTTAGGATCTAAATTTAGTTAGAATCGTTTCACATTGCGAGTTATAAATTTTCTCACGGAAATATATTTTGCTTGCACTACACCGTTTTACGCGCGCACGAGTGTCATCGCAATTGTGGGAGTGAAATTTCGCAAAAATGCGTATCGGGGGAACACTTGATATTTTAAATCGCGCGTATGTAAAATGCATACCCGGGAGAAAATTCGCGCACAAAATAGACGCAACAGGACCAGTAATGCAAGCTGAAATAATTATTAAGCAGTTGAGTGTGCCATACATTAGCAAAAGCAACATTTATTTTAAACATTAGAAATTTAACATTTAGAAGAACATATATTATTGAATATATTTGCGTCCAGCGGAATATATTTTTATCGACTCAAATATCATACAATATCCGACGAAACACAGTACAGACGAAAATAGATATTTGAATTCTTCACACTACAATATTTTTATATATATTAAATGTATTAATTAACTATCTGTTGTGCAATATACCATGTTGCAATGTATCATGAAATAAATTCTGAATTACTGCTTTGATAATCTTGCCTTTGATAAATTCTCTTTGTGTACCGATAAATTCTCTTCGCGTGCCGTTATCATAAACATTATTGATAAGAAGGAGAGTTCATATTTATCCTAATTTGTAATCAAATTCTTCTCATATATGTGAAAACGGTGTCACGTGTAACGCGTTATTCCTAAAACTCGAACGAGGCTTTAGGCGATCCGCGCCTATCCGAGCGGCGCAATATCCCTAATGGGCGATATCGTCATTCACCTTCCTTTCTTTATGTTACAGCGACTGCAACGAGATTGAGGCACTCGAGACACCTGGACGTGAGATCGCAGTATCAGGGCGAGGAGGTATTAACGGTGAGTGCTTCTCGATTCGTTCTTGATTCGATTTCTCATCTTCCCCACCACTATCATCGTCTCGCACCACTTACACTCCCTTTCCTTCTGTCTCTCAGACATCAAGCCCGGTTCCTTTTACCACTACAGATCCCGGGGATGATCTACTAAGATCTCCGTATAAACCACCTTTCCAGCGCGTGGATAATGGATTCGTTCTCTTTCTACTTCGCTGATCTGCCGAACAGTTAAATATTTACCGCGCTCGTCAACAGTCGCCTCTACGTGACGCCGACGAGCGTGCCTGAATTTCTTGTCAGTCGCTGAATACGTACAGAGTATAAAAAAAGTCGCGATCGCGCAAATACGGCATTCTTACTTCGTCATTTAACGATATCTTAATCATTTTCACGAAATCTTGGATTCAACTGCAATTTGAATTGCGCACCAAATGTATTACCTTTTTATTTGTATTTAAAAAATGAATAGTACGATACAACTTTGTTTATTGTAAAATTTAATTTTTTTATTCTTTGGAACTCACGAAGGTAGCGACGGGAACATTAAATTCCGTTCAGAAAACAAATATTTTGTTTCAATCGATTTTACGGGAAAAAAGCCGCAAAAATAAATGGTTTCTGACGGTCTTCGGATATTTTTTTCGTCACTGTTAAAACATGAAACTGCAACAGCGAAAGCATCTTACGTTTGTAGTAACGTGGAGACGACGTGCTCGCCGGCACGACGCTATTCCGACCGATCGTCTTGCATAAATAATTTGTCGCAGACGGGCGAAATCACTCGTGATTCGATGAATAGGCGCGCTACGACGAATCGCGCCGTACGTTCACGCGGCGTGGAGACACTTCGGCGAGAAGTGCTTCGTTGGCGACCCCTGAGACTTGCTTACGAATCGCTCGTAAATCGTTGACGTTACACCGAAGTTCGCTCGGCAGAGCGTGGGATATTTAGGAACGCGAATTGCGGACGGAGAACTATAGAATCTATTTCATGTGCGAAATTCGTTAGACGGCACTTCGACAAATGGTAACCGAATGAGAATTCGAATTGCTGGAACTATAATCGTACGGAAAAGCTGTTTGAGACCTAATCTTGTCAATTCCAAACAGATAGGTATCGAAATTTCGCGCAACCGCAATGCAATTTGTGGTTTCCATGTGGCGCAGTACCATTTAAATTTTCAATGTTTTATTGAACATCGTCCAACTCGCTGTGAAGCTGCGGAGGTTATAAATTAATATTATATTTGTAATGTCTCGTTAATTATAAATATCACATCCATATTATTGTATATTATTATTTAATAATGTTAATATTATAAGAGATTCTATATTAGAGATATGTTTTTAAATCATTAATAATGCAGCTCAGCCCGGTTATGTATATAAAGATTAATTTTCTATCACGATAAAATTCATTTACTGAAAAAAATGACACGCTTCATTACTTATTTATAGAAGCTTAATTGGTTACAATCTTTCAGCTTTCAATATAAAATGTCCTCTCGCTGTAACTTAACTCTGATTAAATTTTTCTTAAGAAAAGATCAAACACAAAGTACTTAAAGAATAATAAAAGCTCACTGCCGGTGCACTCTTTTTTTTTACCGTATTACGAAACACAATTTCCTTGTAAATATTACATTAATAGAGAGTAATGTTTAATGCTTGGCCTTTTTTAAGGAATTAAATTTCGTCGCTTTTCTTGCTTCCTAAATCCATCCGAATCGAAAGTGATAATCGCGGTCAAGCTCGTTAATCCTTTGTTCATATTGGTCGTAGCATAAGGATTTCGCGAATAATCGCGTGTAACAAGAGCTCTTTCGCTTTTAATATTAGTTAACAGTCGAGAATCTCGTGACCGTGCTGTGTGCGTATCGTCTTGGAATTCGGCGCAAATATCTTGGGCGAAAAGGGACAGTTTGTTCAAATATTATAATACAAAGATGTCAGTTATCTCAGCGATTTACTGCTGTGAATTCACTAAAATATCATAGCTAAATAGAACATCGGAAATTTAATTAATGCAACGACACATTTGTGTCTCGCTATCTCTCTACCGAAATAGCGATTTAGCTAGCACGTTTGCGCTAATTTACTTTTTCATTCTCGTTCGAGAGCTTTTTTCCTCTTTAACAGTCGGTCGATGCTCGAAAGCAATTATCAATTCCAATCGACGAGTTCTTTCTTCTCGGATAAGTCTGCACGAATCAACCGCGAATAGCATAACGGGGTTAATATGCTAAAACGCGGCTAACTTGTTTATCGTTAATGAGACTGGAAAGTACGAGAGCGAGCGCGCCGTGCCGCGCCGGTGTTATATCGAGGTAGCGCACGAAGCAGGCAGAGTACTGCACCAAATTCTAAACGATCTGATGAGAGAAAGAGGGGTTCGCTAGACACCGAGGCGTGCCTCGCTGCGCGAACAAACACACAGCACACGCGGATTATATTTCTTACCGAACGTTGTTTACCCGGGAGTATCGTTATCCCGTGAGACAGAAAATAGTAATGAATATTAATGCCGTGACCATTTAATTACATTGCAGATAACGGCCTAGTCGTGAACGCGTCTAGGGAGAGAGACTCAGGCGTTATTATAAGCGTTCACCCACACTTTCGCGCGATAAACGAATAAGTTCGCTTATCGAAATCCATGGATGAAAAAACGGTGAAAAAAAAACAAAACATCAATATGCTAAATATATCTATCAAACCCGTTTTAGATAATCTACATAATTTGCAATCAAATTTAAAATAGAAATTTTCTAATACACCGGAGTGTCGCGCGAAACTCGGAGCATTGAGAGGAGCAATTTTTGTCGCGTGTCAATTTTTCGCCGTGCTTGTAACATTTTAAAAATCCGACGCGCGTTCTTCGAAAATAAACGCGACGCACGTGTACGCGTTGCGTAATGTTACATAACTACGATACTACGATCAGCCTACGGTCAGCTGATCAGTAGTAGTGAGGTCGCGGTTTTGCAGGTCGCCGACCTATGTGGAATGCGTGGCTACTTCAACGATACCATTCGAGATGCAACACCAGTCGACACGGGTCGATACAACTGTCAATATCTTTGCGCGAAAAAGTCGCGGCGAAAAACAAGTTGCATTTGAAAGTTGAGATCACTTCTGACAAGAATTCTAGATTCCATCCAAAATTGTTATCTTGAATGAGTGGTTTGCGCGAGTATCGTCGCTTAATCGCGAGAATCAAATTAACCCTTTCGATACGCCAGTTTCGCAAGGCGCGAAATTGTCGCGCGGCAAGTTTATAAATTAGGATTACATGTATTGTTTGGCGTGCGTGATTTGCATCACTTGATGGCTTCGCAGTCGCAACGAACATTTCTCAGACAATGTATATACATACGCCCCGTGGCCGCAGCGATCTTCGTACATATGTGCTCTTCACTCAAAGGATTCGGAAGCTTTCAACTTCCGATATCATCATTGAGAGAAGCAACTGCGCGGGAATTCATCTAAAATGAGTTTTGTTTGTAAGATTATAAATTTTTAAACCGATCGTGCGCTTCGCACACGTTGTTATCGGCATTATTATTATTCGATGCGTATCATATCTTGGCAGTTTGAAAGTTAAACGCGACATCGGTCGATTGTATATTACATACGTTAAACGCCACTGGATCGATCCTAATCGCGATGAAATGGTAACACACCGGACTTACGAGGGTAGTTGCGGTCATAATTTATGAGAATATAGCTCTTACCGCAAGATGCAACAGACCGCGTAACGTTGTGCAAAGCCGTGGAACTTCACTAACCTTGCCACATGTTCTAGATCGCCAACATGCATGATTATTACAAAGTGCCTGTGGCAGGTACGGCGCCCCGTTTTTTCCACGCCCCTTCTTTCGCCCTCCATCTCTCTTCCTCTTTCTCCTTGTATTTCCACCCCTCTCGCGAGCTGTTGGATCTTTTATGAGAAAACGCGACATAATAGACCGCTGGAGTCCGCGCCGTGATTAATGGCGCTTGGTTTATGAGGAGCGCTTTGATTTATCGAGCGCCTTGTACTCTAAAGTCTCGCCCGCGCGCGCGCGGCGCCAAGTTTACCGATTAATCCCCCGGACATCTTTCGGGGGAGAGAGTCGAGCCTCGCAGCCGACTAACATTCGCGCTAATAGCCGTCCGTTTCTCTTGTGCTTTCAGTCCAATGGAAATCACAACCACAAGCCGCTGTTCTCCAACTGCTCGAATTATGCGCCCGTGGTAAAGGAGGAGGAACCGGCTGGCACAGTGGTGATCCAGGTGCAAGCCGAAGATAGAGATCCTGAGGACGAAGGAGGTACTGTAGCGTAACGCGACATCATCAAATATACCGCGTCACACAGCAAAGCGTCGGCGGTGAATTGTGCGCGCGGTGAAAAAAAAAAATGCGCAAATTATTTTCACGATTCTCAAAGTTTCACGACCGCGAATCAGGACGAGCGGAAGAAGTTCGAGGAACGTGCTTTTCGTTTGAGCTTATTTTTAATTATGTGTCAACACGCGCGTGTATGCTGTATACGTTTCTAATGATTTATCGGGAAAAGTAATGTAACGGTATGATATAATAGGAACATCGAATATCGTTTTAGTCGGAAATAGATCGAATTAAGCGGGCGAAAATATCTTGCCGTACTATTGGTTGGTTAAGCATAAATATGTACTATTTTCAAACAGCGTAATATATGTCGAAGTAACAAGAACATAAGTCGTTAATCCGATTATCGGATGATTGTACACTCGTGAATTTTCAGGTACCATTACGTACAGTTTCGTGACTGCTCCCGACGAGAAGCTGAAATTCGAGATCAATAATAAGACAGGTCTCATCAGGACGACTCAGATGCTCGATAGGGACGAGCCCGCCAGAGAGAAAGAGGCTTACCTCACGGTACTCGCGACCGACAATGGAAGGCCGCAGCTGGATGACGTGTGCACATTTAAGGTCACTATCGAAGATGTCAACGACAATTCGCCCGTCTTCGATAAAGTGGTATGTCGCTAATCGTTCCAAGTTACGAACTCGTTAACAGATCGAATAAATTGATCGACTCTTTACGGTTCACATCCACGAATAAATCCGGATGCATGCGATACGAATATACGTTTACATTATGCATATGCCGCAATTACGCGGGTATAACAGTCACAATTGGTTTGTACTAGAAAAAGATTTACCTAACAGGTCAATATCTTACTTTTTTTATGATGTTATCGGAATAATAATTTCTTTTTTAAAAGATTGACAGTATTATTTGACAAAAATTGTTTTGAAATAAAAAAAGAATTTAAGTTTATGATACGTATGCTCCATTTTATATATATATATATATATATATTATCAGACCGATATTCTTTTTTTATATTACCATCAGAATAAAGAATTGATTTTTTTTGTAAATAATTATTTTTATTTGGCAGCATTAATTGGCAAGAATAATTCTGAAATAAAAACTGGATTTGAGCACATAATACGTATACTCTATACGTATTATCTACATATATATTATTATCTATAAGAAATTCTGAAATAAAATATTTTTAAAAATTTCACACGTTTGCGGAAAAAGATGGACAGAATTAATTGAGTCCATTGTATTGATGTATATTTAATATATATTTAATTTTATTCTCCACATGTTGCACGCATAATCAATGAGCTAAAGCCATAGATCGTGAATTGGTTCTCCTGCAGATTACATTTTTTTTTCATAGACTAACATATCGTTACTATCTATTACTAACAAATACTAACAAAACTAACAAATATCGTTACTATCCTACTAACAAACTCTGCTTGGATTTCTTTTTGTTTTATTTCGATCCCAGGTCTTCCGTGGATATGTGTGGAAGGTTGGTTTCGAATTTGTGCGGTGTAAATGTTGCTCGATGTAAATGAGAAAGATAAATGTATAATTTTGTTGTTTTACGTAGAACTTGTATATTTTATAATCTTAAGTAGAAAGAGTATTTAATTTTTACCGAATAAAAAATATTTTTTGATTTAATCGTCTGAATTTAAACACAAGATAAAAATTTGCATCAACATGAAAAACATATTATTCGCTGACTAACAATAACTGTGGCAAACTGTTTGCCATATTAAATATGACGAAATGCATCCCACATTCTTTTCTCTCGTGTTAAAAGAAATTATGCATGTATGTGATATTTTAGGTATGATAACGCACTGTGAGCACGATTAATGTGAAAATTGCATGGAATGCATCACGCTGAGTGCATTTTGAAGATCATGTTGCGCATATTGTGTCATAGTCGTTTCCCATTTAATGCATTTCGGCTTGTTATGCAGGCATATACGGAATCTGTGCCGCAAGATTTACCCATCGGCCGCGAAGTCATGAGAGTTTCCGCAACCGATATCGACGATGGCAACAATTCCGTCGTACGATATAAGCTGTCACCTAAGAGACAGGATGATGGTGTATACTTTCGGATCGACCACGAGACCGGTGTCATATTCCTCAACAAAGTTATAGACGTAAGTAACATGGAGGATGATGTTAACAGGAGAGCGCCTATGAATAATACTTAATGCTACTATTATTTATGTTCCCTCGAAAGTAGAATTTGTAATATTTTCACAATAATTTAAACAGTTATAATAAACGCTGTCTTTTTTTTTAGTATTGTTTGAATTTCTATATTGTTTCGTTGACCAATTTTGTTGTATAAATGTGTGCTTTTAAAATAATATTTTTACTAAATATTTAACATTTTACGCGTATAACGCCCGGAGTAACATTATTTGTAAAAAAAGTTGTCATTATCAGATAAAATTTGTTACTTGATTTATTAAAACTAAAACACAACATTGTGTGTGCTATATGCACGCATTTAAAAATATTAAATATAATATAAAAAGAAAAACAACTAATTAATATAAAATTTAAAATGCATTGCATTAAAGAAAATGTACATTCTAAAGTTTTAAGACTATTAAATGATATAAGATTCTAAGACATAAAAATGAACAAAATGTACCTTTTATTCATTTTTATGTTTTATGATATCATTTGGCAGGCCATTGAAATCTTATATTTTAAACAAAGGAATAATTTAGAATTCCAGAATATAAGATTTCAATGCATCGGAGTAAAGTTCTAGATTTAGCGAATAGTATGATATAAAATTTGAAAGTATAAATAAAGAATAAATAAAATGTACATTTTATTTATTTTTATGCCATAAAATCTTATTTCCTATTGATATAATACATAAATTTATATAATTTATTATATTATGATTATTATGGATTTGTGTAGCGGAGTCCAGATTATAAATTCAGTATGACGGCCACCGCTAATGATCTTGGCGAATATCCAAAACCCCAATTCAGTGTCATTGATCTTGACATACGGGTTGTTGAATCGCATAAGAAAGCGCCAGCTTTTATACCGAGGTCAATGGAGCCAATTAAACTGAAGGAGAATTTCAACGATTTTGATGCCAGCATTATCAGTTTAAAAGCAGTTTCCAACATTGACAACTCAACTAATTCAGACAATTCGTATCTACTCTTTGAGCTTGTTCCTGGTAGAACGGAACAGACCAACAAGGGGAACACTTTCAGGTAGCTGTGAATTGTACTTATTGCTTGTTGTTGTTTTCTCAAAGCAAAGTGAAACGTGTTCAAAATTGTGACACGACTGAATTTTATGTGAATATTTTTGTTTTGTACTTATTAGATTGGAATCCAACAAGGACACAGCGGATATCAAGCTCTCTCACACCCTGGATTACGAAAGTAACACCCAGTATTCGTTAATAGTACGAGTACAAAATAAGTATCAGTTGGCCGCCGAAACGGTAGTCGATATCGAAGTTCTCGATGTAAATGACAACATTCCAGTCTTCCGTGATATTAAAAAAGGAAGCGTGTTAGAGAACGAAGACCCAGGAGTTCCTGTGATGCAGGTGCGAGCAATCGACGCTGATGGAACGTCCGCCAATAATCAGGTATTGAAATCAATGTAAATGATGTTTTCCGTTTTAAGAGCATCTTTTATCTTTTTGCGATTGTGCGTCAAAGTTTTACTATATCCTACTGTAATAACACAATATCTCCACTTGATTGTTCAAAAGGTCAGCTACGAGTTGGATAACTTTAAGGACCTCTTCAAAATCGATTCCCGAACTGGCAATATTACGACATTAGTGACGTTCGATAGAGAGAAGGAGGACACATACAACGTCAAAGTAATAGCAACGGATAATTCTCCGAGTGCTTTGTTCAAAACTGGCGAACACAATAAAGGGCAACAGGTGTTCCGAATCGAAATTGCCGATAAGAATGACAATGCACCTAACTTCACTCGAAAGGTGTACACCCATAATTCGATTTATGAGAACGCAAATATTAATGCGCCCGTGACTGAAGTCAAGGCCATGGATGCCGATACAGCAAGTCCTGTCACGTACAGAATCATATCGGGGAACAGCGAAGATAGTTTCTACATCGAAGGCACAACGGGAAAGATTCGCGTGAAAAATTCGTTGGATTATGAAAAGATCACCAAATATAATTTGACTGTATTAGCGTACGACGGTGTGTACAACGATACGGCGCAAGTTGAGATTTTTATCGAAAATGTTAACGACAATCCTCCACTTTTCGGACAGTTCGAGAAAAATCCGGAAATAGATGAAGAAACATTAGTAGATGGTAAGATGTTAATTTTAATCATCTTCAAATGATAACTTGAAGAAATCAATATAACAAATTTATCATTATTGTTTGTTTAGGCTGTATCACCACTGTGAACGCTTACGATCCGGATATCGAAGATAGGAGTGCCGACCAGCATATCTCCTACTTTATCGTTAAAGACGATCAACTACCTTTTATAATGATCGACAAATCTGGTTGTATGAAGTTGAAGAAGCCATTAGATCGCGATCCGCCGAATGGTTATTCAATGTGGACTGTAAGTCAATTGTATTTATCACGCTAATATTTTTAAAAATTGACTTCTTTTCTTCATCTCTCATCGCTCTCTTTGCAGATTATCGTAATGGCAAGAGACGAAGACGGGTCGACCACCGCTTTACAAAGTTTGGTAATGGTTAACATCACTCTCCATGATATAAATGACAACGCACCATTTCTCGATATGCCTTACCCCGTTATTTGGGGTGAAAACAAGGATCCTAACAAAGTAACTAAGATAACCGAGCTGAAGGCACGAGATTACGATTCTGAGAAAAATGGACCACCATTCAAATTCCGAATTGACGATAGCGCGGATGATGAAATTCTATCCAAGTTCGAGATCCGCGAAATGAATCTCCATGCGCGAGTAAAATTTGATCGGGAAGAGCAGAAAAGCTACGATATACCGATAGCGATTACGGATAGCGGCATGCCACCAATGACTGGTACTTCAACACTCACTGTGATTATTGGCGACGAAAATGACAATGCCATGCAGGAGGGTTCGAGTTCTATATTCGTTTACAATTACAAAGGAGAAGCTCCTAATACAGAAATTGGACGCGTTTATGTTAATGATCCGGATGATTGGGACCTGCCAGATAAATCTTTCGACTGGGCTCCTCATGTTTATCATAATGAATTTTATCTAAATGCTAGTAACGGCATGATCACTTTACTGTCGGGCACATCAAATGGCACCTTCGCATTGAAGTTTATCGTTACTGAAAAAGCCTATCTTATCGATTCGCATCAGGTATACGCGTACGTGAACGTCACCGTTAAGGAACTTCCAGAAGAGGCTGTGGAGAAATCCGGTTCCGTGCGATTTTATGGAATAACTGCGGAACAGTTCGTAGAACCCGATGAGTCTGGCATTAGTAAGAAGGAAATATTCCAAGAGAAATTTGCTTCCATGCTAAACACATCGGTCGAAAATATCGATGTGTTCACTGTGCTTTATTCACCTCATTACAACAATAAAAGTTTGCTCGATGTCCGATTTTCGGCACACGGCAGTCCGTATTACGCTCCCGAGAAGCTAAATACCATTTTAGCGCAACATTCGAAGGAAATCGAAAAAGCGATAAAGGCGGATATTCTAATGGTGAACATTGACGAGTGTCTATTCGAGAAGATTCATTGTAACAATTCGTGCCGTAATTTCTTGAATACCAGTACTGTTCCATATCCCGTTTATACCAATACCAGCTCGTTTGTCAGTGTTAGAGCGGTTATAGATCCGCAGTGTACCTGCACCGTAGCGGAACCTATCGTCTGTTTGAACGGTGGTACACCTCTTGGAGAACGATGCGAATGTCCGCCTGGTTTAGAAGGACCGAGATGCGAACTATTGGGTATCGGTTTTCACGGAGACGGCTGGGCTATTATGCCGTCGCCCGGTCAAGCTTGTGACGAGTCACATTTGGGTAGGCGACTTAAGACTTGTCTATATTTGTCATTTCTCCATTGTTTGTTTGTATTTTTATTTATGTAAATAATTATTGCAGGGTTGGAAATAACGCCATACGTGGACAATGGGCTAGTATTTTATTTCGGTCCTATAAATTACAATCCTAAACTTGGAATTCAAGATTTTATGGCTTTAGAACTTCAGCAAGGCTTTGCTGTGTTATATATCGATTATGGAACGGGAACTGTAAGATTAGATCAGAAACAAATCAAATTAACAGACGGCAAGAGTCACAGAATAGACGTTTTTTGGAAGAAAACTGTAAGAATTCTCGTTATATTCGCGTATTGCCTTATTCAGAATCGAAATGTAACTATCTTATTATGCTTGTTTTTTCCAGTCTATAGAGATGCAGGTCGATAAGTGCACCATATCCGCTTGCATGAGTCTCACCGCACCGCAAGGAACCAATGAATTTTTAAATGTTAACGGCCCGATGCAAATCGGTGGTACATTGAGCAATTTAGCGCACTTGTCGTCACATTTAGGCTGGGATCATAAACCAACTAGTAAAGGATTTGTCGGCTGTATACGCAACATGACATTCAATGGAAACGTAAGTTAATGACAAAAAAATCGAATAGAAAAATTGAAGTTAAAGAGACTTAATTATTTTCTTTGATTCATTTTAGACGTACAATTTGGGTATGCCATCGCTATCTAGAAATGCAGATCCCGGTTGCAATCACGGCATGGCGAAAGCCATCTCATTCGGCATTGATACGAACTTCATAGTAGCCATATTAGTATGCGTGCTAATATTGTTAATATTACTCGTGGCGGTAGTTGTTCATAGAAGGAAAACGGACGATTTGTATAAGGATATGGATGACATTAGGGAAAATATTATTAATTACGAGGATGAAGGAGGCGGTGAGGTTGATACAGGATACGACTTAAATGTGTTGAGGGCTATTTACGATGCACCACCTATCGATTCGAAGATAGCTCCGGTTGGCCTGCAGGGTCGAGGTAGCAACAAATCTTTGTAAAAATATTATTTACATAGATTTTCGTATATAAAAACTAAACGACAAAATTTTTTAAAGGAGCCGATGAAGTTCCAGACATTTGTGGTTTCCTAGATGGTAAGAAAGAAAGCTGCGACAAAGATCCCGATACAAATCCATTCGATGATGTAAGGCACTACGCTTACGAGGGAGAGGGCAATTCGGAAGGCGATTTATCGTCGTTAGCATCCTGTTAGTATATTAAATATCAGAAGACATAAATAAAATAAATAAATATCGATGCATCTTGATTTCTCAATCGGACTTTTTTATTCAGGTACTGACGATGGAGATCTAAAGTTCAATTATCTGTCGAATTTTGGGCCAAGATTCAGAAAGTTGGCAGATATGTATGGAGAAGACCCAAGTGACGAAGAAAGTGACGGAGTCGGTGAACGAGAGAGTGAAAGTTGGTGTTGAGTTTTCTTAGCTGATAACTCCGTAGATATAAAATTTTAACGCAGGTAATTATTAATTATTAATATAGTAATATATATTAATAATTAATTATTTGGATTATTTATTTGCATAATTTATCATATTTCGCGGTCCAGCAGGAGCCTTCCCGCTCTTTTGTTTCAGTATATTAAAAGTTATACGTACTTAGCCACTCGCACGTTTCAATATTTTTTTATTATATAAATAGTGATAAAAAAACTACCAAATTTAAAATACTTTTTTTTATTGTAATTCATATTTTTTTTATTAATAAACATCACAAACTTTTGCGTATGTTCTTTTTTTTGAACAGTCAACGATAACGATTTATTTCTAACTAAAAAAAAATAGAGGATACGTTTCGGAAAAAATAGTTGTGAAATTGTTGTTTTTTTTTTGAATGTAGCATATCAAAATTCTCATATAAACGATCGTTGTTTTGTTATTAGAAGACGCACGTAGCTTGCAGATTCGCTCTAGCTCGTGTGATCCACGTAACCATAAGGACAGGACATACATGCCGCAGGATTTGCATCACGCAGATCTACGCGTTTCTACAGCCTTAAGTTCCAATAATGGGAAAGAAAGGAGGCTTTACTGTACTTAAGCGGCAATCGTGGTCTCATTCATCGCTTCAGTAGTTCATCAGACGAAGAGATGAAGAGCGTTTAATACGCCATCCTATCAATGCGACGTGTAATTACAAGCGTGATTTATTGGCAAACGGAATAAACTTTATCGTGAGTGACTATATAGACGCAATATAAATTCCGTTTGCTCGCGAAAGTGACACGTATCTCATATTGATCCTTAAAATGAATTTTTATATCGTGTCGATAAAACTTAGCGCTTTATGTTATAATTTTACACTAGAAGTGATATATGTGTATAAGTGGGGCGAGAGAAAATAGTGCGTTCACTGTACGTTGCGCGGATATGAACATTAAAAGTTCTCGATTATCGTGTTCTCGTTGTATGTATTTCGACGAGTTGTTGGACAATCGACATTTTCATGCACGGTTTTTTTTTTCATTTTGGATGTAATTATTTGAATATAATTGTGACGTATTGCAATTTGACATTTATAATAAACAATGCCGTATGAGTTAAAAGTATCAAAATAGATTCTGCAATATAAATGTTGTATTATGTAAATAATTTAATGCTTCGTCGACTACGTCCTGTTCGATGACTGAATCATTATTGTTGATTAACAGTAAATGATGTACGGAGATATTCTCGAGATTTGTTAAGATTTTCAAAATAAAAGACAGAGAACTCGCATAAGTTGATACAAATCTGTTTTTTTTCTCTCTCTCTTTTTATTTCGAACTTTTTGTTTTAAAAATTTTTTAAATGGAAGCATTATGCATGCAGATATAAAATATACAGTTCATTGATAATAATATATAAGTTTTTCCATTATATAAATGAGAAAGAAAATTGCTATAGCCGATAAAGTTGACGAAGTATTAAGCATATTTTTTAATTGTTTATTCATCATATCAGAGAGAAAGAGCTATTGTCTATTTTGTTAATATTTTTTTAACATTGCGTAATAGCGACGAAATGCTATGTGACTGACTTTAGAACTCGCCGTTTAAAGAAACTTAAGTAACTTCGTAAAATCGCACGTTGACTGCCAGATTCAAGAGATCGCCATTCGTCTGTGTGTTGTTTCTTAACATTACGTGCATTCCAAGTAGCAAAGAAAGCTGTAGTTTTGTAATGAAACTGCATGCTATTTAATAAAGCGTGAATAATATATTGCAGTTTTTGTAACTAACAATTTACAATAAAAATATGATTGCTGATTTGTATTCTTGAGTTTGGCAATCATCAAGTTACAAGGTTTCGGAACTATTTTTTATACGTACATTATATAAATAAATAAATATGCATATATATATGTATACATACACATACATATATATGTATATATATATGTGTGTATATAAAATACATGTACACACACACATATATGTATGTATATATATATATATACATATATGTGTGTGTGTGTGTACATGTACTTTATACACACATATATATATATACATATACGTGAAAGAAAAATGATAACTAATGTCAAAGCGATCAATGAAATAATTATAAAAGGACACCGATAACTCTTGTTATGAAAATAAAAAGAGGGTAGTGCGAATAAAAGAATAAAAGGGAAAATATAGGTAGCATTACTCTACTTTAATTTAATTTATATAGTATTTTAATAATTACATATGCGTGAGTGAGAACAAAAGTGTACATGATATATGCGTATCGATATTATCTGTATTATCAGGTAAACACGTACGTACGCATACGAATATTACGTACGTATTGTTATATTCGATATAAATTTCAAACGCAAGTATATACACACATACATATATACCTTTTGTATGTATATATTTTTTGCGAGAATTGAAAACATTGTTCTCACTGCAAATTTGTCCGTAACGTTGTTCTGCCACTAAGATTTTATAAGCAGCAAATCCGAGTATTCCAAACAAACAATGCGATCGAATGTAGACAAAGCAGAGTACCGACGCATGGAGATCGAGTGCCATAGCGCGCTTTGGACGTTTATCTTTTTCCCTGACGGATAATTCCTATCAGACGGCTCATAAAATCTCTACGTATCGCGACTTACAAATAATTCTGGGATGATGAACTGTAGCCTCATCATGGAACTATTTGTCAGTGTCTTTCATCAATCAACCACTATTTCATAATACTAACTCGTCATCATTTTCACTATATCTTCATGCGTTTGATAAGTATTTATGTATATACACATGGATGCTCTTACTTTTAAGTTTTTTGTAAAGGCACGATGGTATATGTATTGTCTGCAAGTGGTTACGTTGAGCTGTACTCTGGAACAAATGCTCCTCGGTTATTCGTGTTCTTTAAGCTTTACCGTTTGTTTTTATAAATCAACGATTTATAAAAAATTTAATGGAAGTGGAATTATTTATTAAATATGTTTTGATACTTGCATGTAACATGATCATGAGCACATAACAGAACGAATATTTTAATATTAATTAGGAATTCATTAAGAAATTCACAATTATATTGACGAATTTTGTATAATTATATTTAGTAAATTTTTAATAATTCGCACATTCTGCAAAACTATGTATAATAAATAACTGTTAAATCATGTTCATGTACATAAAATATAAAATTGACTCTTGCTATTGCATATTTTATGTGTAATCGCTATAAACTGCCATAACTAGATCAAGAGATACTAAAAAAAAACATCAATGTCATCATGTTCTTTTCGTTAATTGGTTCTTAAAAATTACTCAACGTACCGTGCAGTCTTAATACATATCGTAAAATTCAACGCATATATGACATACATGATAAGAAATACAACTTAAGCGGACGTGATCTCAAGAGTTGGGAAGTGGATGTTGGACGTTCCTCTAGAAATATGTATGAGCTACTTAGGCGCTTGCCATTGAACAACGATTACAGCAAAAGATGGATAAAATGTAACAGACTCATAATTTAGTCATTTCTAGAGAAACATGAATTATTATATCTATATTTGTATTAAAATTTAATTTTTATGCATTGTCGCAATTTATCCTTTACTTTTTTCTTTCACTGAGGCAATATTTGTCAAACATTGTGAAAAAAATGTTACTTCAATATAAAGTTTGTATGATAAAATTAAAGGTAAAGATTAATCTATAGGATTAATGTATAAAAATAACTGTAATAGATTAAAATTCGTCAGTTGAGTCAAATTAACTAACGGTGATATTGCTCGAGTTTTCTTTATTATTTTGTTAATGATTAGCTAATTACATGTATACAAAAACATGAGAATTTTATTATTTTCTGCAAAGATAAGTTTTTAATATTTAATTAACCTTTTAAAATATCTTCGAATACTTGCCCATATTAACAAAATTTATATAATCATTGCTTCACTTCATAACACTGTAAAAAGTTAACACGAATCATTATTTTTCATCACTTTCATATGCCTATAATTGTCATTTCTATTATTATTCACAAAAACAATCAAATCATTACTTTTACTTTTATCGTAATAGATCATAAAATATAAAGAGTTTGTAAATGCTGTTGATAAATGTTTACTCAACACTGCCTTTAAGTGATAGACAAAGATCATGGATTCTTTGACGCGCGATCTAAATAATTATATCTTGATTGGGTCTTGATGTATTATGCACTTTAATAATATAACATACTGTAAAAAACATAAACATTAGATCTGAAGATATATATATTATATATATATCTTAAAAAATATATATATATTATATATATATATCTCGCATGAAGAAAATGCGCGCGCGTACACAGGCTTGTACATTATCTAGAAAAAATAAGAACTATTGCGAACCATTTAATATGTGATAATCGACGGCAACGCATATGAGCGCACCATTATCCTTTATCTTCGATCCACCTTTAGCTCGAGAAAATTGTGTAATTTCTTTTTTGTAGAAATAAAGTGAAATTCGAATATATATGCTTTGTTTTTTTATTTTTAATTATTTCGTCCATATCATACACAGTCGTCACAAATAATTCAAGAAATATAATATTTCAACTACAATAGTACTACGATACCTCGTCATGAGAATTTAATATAGCGTGTTAGATATGTAATATCACTGATTGGTGAAGTAATCGGTGAGGCTTCGCATCCTGCTATGTCCCTTGTTAGCAAATTAGTCGGAAACCTTTAAGCGTCATGGTCGCATGTACCAATTTCGTTTGGCAATATATGTTACAAATGACGCAAGTAATGCACAGTTTACTTTTCTGGACGTAAAATTGCCTTACCGTTAATTATGTATAAAATAATATTTTAAATAAAATATTATTTTTATAAATATGCTATTGTATAAAAAAAAAATAGATTTTTTGATTTTGTATCGATACGTAATTCCCTTCTTTTATCTATGGTAAAGTTTAAACGCAAAACGTTAAATATACTCAATTAGAGATATTTTTCTCTTCATTTACACAGGTGCAAATAAGTTAAATATAGCTTAGTAATTTTTGCCATGACATTCTTTTTATGAACAGTTAAGCAATTAGCAACATTGAACTTGATTTATTTTACTCAAATAAAATATATAATCTTAGTTTTATAATTATAATAAAATCGTATAAATTAATCGCACGATGTAAAAGATTGTAAACATGTTACTAAAAGAAAAATAAATTTTATTTGTCAAGAAATAAAATAAATTTTATTTATGTTGACTTTTTCGAAATAGATTATATAAAAAATTTTATTCTACTTTATTCATTTTTTACATCATCAGTTATGGCACATATATGTATATAAAGTCTGAAGATCTGCTATATTAAAATTGTATAATTCTATATCTTGATGTTGCTGACATAGCAGGTGAATATTCAATACTTAATTGAAACACTTACAATTTCAATCAATTCTAATTATCCGTACTTGTTAAATGTATACTCATATATGCGTGCAAGATAACCGATGGCATCGAGATAATAAATTCGTAACTGTAAAGAAATATAAAAAAGAATCAACAAAATTATAAAAAACGTGTAATTATATCTCTAAGTATAACTCTCTGTACGAGATGTATATCACTTATGGATTCTCAATCAGTCTCAACTTCAGTACTAAAATAACGTGAAAGACAATCTCCAGATGACTTGCGAAGCGTAAGATTCAACGCCGGCGCAGAGCTTTCATTATCCCTCTAGGACAGTGATTGAATCTATTGAGATGTTGTAATGTGCGCGCGTTGAAACAAGGGGTCAGTAATGTATAAAAACAGCAAACGCATCTTAGATCTCTCATAAGTGAAATCTCTCGTACATCGGCGTTACGTTGTCTCGCGAAAAAATTATTGAATTCTATACATCTATTTATATAAGTGTTATCATGTGAGTCCTTTTTTTAACTTTTGTGGGTATAGTGCTATTTATTCTTTTTCGTTACAAAATTAAATTTGTTCATAATAAATGCAAATAATTATTTGCTATACAAAATGGTGATAAAAGAAATGCAATTAATGACTTAATCATATTTTACACATCAGATATTACGTACTCGTGTTATCATATCATTAATTATTCATTCTACGTGTATTCATTACGACGCAGGTGATATAATAATACCACCTATGATGCAGATATTTGTGTCAATATTTAAAAATATTTTATAAGCTCAAGCTTTTGTAATATTTCTGAATCGGTATATTTTTATCTTATATATTTATAGAAAGTACAATAATTTTCACTGTTACAATAATACAATGTATATTTATTGAAAAAACTTTTTTTAAGGTTTTGTAAAATGCCAATAAGCTTACTTGCTATAGCATTTCTCTTCTTAATCCTTATTTCGGATGGTGAAGCTCAGGTAAATTTTTCTACTGGATGGGGTCAGGGTAAAAGGAGCCAAGATATGCGGGTTAGATCCAGTAACACGGATTGTTTATCGCAAAACACGTCACTGGAACAGTTATTAAAATTATATTCATTTATTCAGGTATGAACTACGAAGGTGTGAAATTAATCAAAATATTTATTGTTATAGAGCACAATTGATATCGTTGCGTATATTTCTTGATGTTCATTTCACTTCTAGAGAAATTTCGAAGTGCAGTCTTGTGTGAGCTTTCGCAGGATACAAGTGAAAAAATCCAAATAGTTTCTACTTTATTTACATAAAACAACGTTTCAAAAAAAATTTTATGTGCGTTGAAAGAGATTTATAAAATAATATAATTTTTATGTCGTAATAATATTATATTTTATGACTTTTTCTTTTATCAACTATATTCTATTTATTTTGTTATTTGTCTAAATTCAACTATCTCTGTTGGAATTTGTTACTCATTAGCAGATCATCATTCAGATCTATTACAATGTTGAATTAACAATGAGATCAAAATAAAATTTAAAAAATATATAAATAAAAGATTATTTGAATTTATTCATTCGTACTCAATATATTTCGATGGCTTGCATAATCTTTACTTCAACTACTTAACTTGTTAATTTTTAAACTTTATTCTTTTAATTTTGATAAAATGTTGAACACGTAAATCATGAAAAATATGATTTTTGACATTTGCTTGTCACAAATATAGCAAATGTGCATTAGTACAAGTAAAATTGATATTGTTATTCATGATTTGTAATATTTACAGATCGAAGCGCAGAGGATCTTGGATTGTCAAAACTTGAACAAATGAATCAGGACAGCATCATTGTTCTTATGAAACAGATTTGTGCCAGACTATTCCCAGAGCCTAAACTAAGACAATGATATTTGAATAAATACATTATAACTGCACAGAATGTTATAATTTCTAATTTTCCTTTCACCGTCATTAATTAAGAACTGATGTACATGATACTAATGTTTTATTTTATTTATCTTATCGTATCATGACAAAATTTTCCTATTAAAAGGCATGAGCATCTGAAACTGATTATTGCCATCTGCTTGTTGCATGCTTTGTACATATTTATTTTAGTTAATATTGAAACAAGTGACGAACGACGTACAGCCGATCTTTTTGCAAAAAAACATTTATTATCGCAAAGTATCTATCTATTATAAACGTCGCATTATTGCAAATGTAGTCTTAAAGAATAAACGGATATTAATTGTAATCTGAAACTAACAATAAATATATTATATACATATATATTATACAATAAATATATTATATATATATATATAAATTAATAATAAATATATTAAAAAGTATTCTTTTACAAAGCTATAACTCCTTTTCCTTGTTTTATAAAAATACAAAAAACATCTTCCTTAGTATTTTTTGCCAGATTTATCACAATCCCATCGCTTAATATCAGAATCATCTGTAAAGCTTTATCGACCAGTCAGTACACAATCATAAATACACGTAAATTGTGCTTTCAATTGCACTCAATTGGAAACAATTCGAAATTTGTTATTGCTTTATCATATACGTGGATCAAATTAACAATCATATATATATATATATATATATATATATATATATAATACTACTACACGCGTAATTTTTCCACAACTCTGTGGAATCTCATAGGATACAGATCGTGATCATCGGTTATTTCGCTACTATGCAGTCATCAAATGCTTGACAACGAGGTAAATAAAGTTTTGGCATTTTAATTTCGATAATTCTCTTCAGTTTGCTTTAAGTGAATAAATAATTATATCTTATTTAAGGATATTATCTTATACAATTTTTTAAATTTTATAATTTCATATTTTTTTAAATTTAATATATATTATTATTATTATTGTTTTATATTTAAAAAATTAAAATTGATGTATAAACTAGTATTCAGTTCTTTAAATAGATAGCAATGTTTTTCCACCATATAAAGTGGTAAAATATTATATAAATCTTTCACTTACAGATGAACTGGATTCCTATAATGCTGAAGATTATTGGTCTTCTAATCGCATTTTTAGCCTTTTCTCACGGTGATCTTAGTTCAGAAAATTTAAGCCTTCGACGGAAACTCTATAACATTAAAAATGGTAAACTATTACAGATTCTATTCCATAACTTTTGAAAAACATAGAATGACATAAATTGATAATGATTGTCCCTTTAAGTTACTAGCTTAACGTTTTCTTTATATTGTACTACGATTTTAGATTGAATAATAATATATAGAAAGATATGCACGCGCGCGCGCGCGTACATGTATATATTGCGCTGCCTCCACTAATAGAATATCAACTTCATTGATATATTATATGATAATTATGACAATAATAAATAAAATCCTTTATTTTTTACTATTTCAATTTTTGTTTTATAGAAACTCAAGTTGATAATAATGTTCTCGGACCATTGTATGCACGTTTTCGAAAACCGCAGTATTCTCAACAATCAAATGGCCGATACGAATGTGTGAAACCAGGTTTCTACGCTGATGTATACGATTGTAGAAAGTATTATGAATGTGTAAAGGTTGAAAACAACAGTCGCCATCAAAACTTTCGTCAATATGTTCACAAATGCAAGAGCGGTGAAGTTTTCTCGTATGCAAGTAGTACCTGCACGCAACCCCAAAAAAGTGGAAGGGCAGAATGCAGTGACTATCCGCGATCAAAGGAGCAAGACAGTACAGGTAATGATTCACTACATAAAACAACAGAAACACAGACAGAAATACAGACAGAAACATCGGAAGTATCAAATTTTTAACACTTAACAGAATTTTAAGCACCTCCGAATGAATAACAGAACAACGATAACAGAACAGAATTACATTAATTCCTTTGATAATTATACAAGCTTTTATTATGCAAATTAAAAAATATTAAAAAAATTATAAATTTATCAAAATATTATTAATTTAAATTGTTAGAAAAATAAATAAGATATGAACACTATTAAAATTCAATAAAAACATGAAAAAATAAGACAACACAAAAAAAATTATTTTAATTAAACAGTAGTACTAAAAAAACCATGAAACAATTAAGATAATTTATGATTCATCACAAATAATTAATTAAAATAAAAAATATTTAAAAAGTAATATTTCTTGCAGATTCAAATCGAAGACATAAAGAAAACCAGAGACGAAAAGAAAGAAACAGACACAGAAGTGAAAGTTCGCAAAGTAATAGTAACAGTGAAGAACATCACAAAAAAACACCAAAACCGACAACGAAAAAAGAAACCAACAGAGATATAGAAAGCACAACTCAAACAATTACCACACATCACACCACAACGAAAAAACATTCAAGAAGCAAAGAGGAAAGCCAAAGCAGTGAAAGCACTGAAGAATTGGAGAAGTCACAGATTTCTACAGAAAGTCAATCCAGCAGCAACGAAGATAATAAGAGCAAGAAAAAAGAAAATAAAAAAGAGACACCAAAAAAGATAAAAAACATAAAAGAAAAAGAAAAAATAAGTAGACGAAAGTAAGTAAGACAATAAGTAGTAGAAGAACGTACAAAACAAAAAGAACCAAAAACCGACAACCAAAAAGGAAATAGAAAGCACAACTCAAACAATTACCCCAAATCATACCACAACGAAAAAACATTCAAGAAGCGAAGAAGAAAGTCAGAGCAGTGAAAGCACCGAAGAATTAGAGAAGCCACAAATTTCTACGGAAAGTCAATCTAGCAGCAACGAAGATAATAAGAGCAAGAAAAAAGAAAATAAAAAAGAGCACCAGAAAGATAAAAAGCATAAAGATAAAAATAAAAATAGTAGTGAAAGTAGTAGCAGTAGTAGTAAAGAACGTCAAACAAAAAGACCAAAACCGACAACCAAAAAGGAAATAGAAAGCACAACTCAAACAATTACCACACATCATACCACAACGAAAAAACATTCAAGAAGCGAAGAAGAAAGCCAGGGCAGTGAAAGCACAGAAGAATTGGAGAAGCCACAGATTTCTACGGAAAGTCAATCTAACAGCAACGAAGATAATAAGAGCAAGAAAAAAGAAAATAAAAAAGAACACCAGAAAGATAAAAAGCATAAAGAAAAAAATAAAAATAGTAGTGGAAGTAGTAGCAGTAGTAGTGAAGAACGTCAAACAAAAAGACCAAAACCGACAACCAAAAAGGAAATAGAAAGTACAACTCAAACAATTACCACACATCATACCACAACAAAAAACATTCAAGAAGCGAAGAAGAAAGCCAGAGCAGTGAGAGCCGCGAAAATCCAGGATCAACGCCACAGATTCCTACCGAAGGTCAATCCGGAAGCAAAGAGGATAGTCAGAGCAATGAGAATGGCGAAAATCAAGGAACATCCCCGCAAGTTCCTACGGAACGTGAATCTGGAAGCAAAGAAGGCAATCAGAGCAGTGAGAGCCGCGAAAATCCAGGATCAACGCCACAGATTTCTACCGAAGGTCAATCCGGAAGCAAAGAGGATAGTCGGAGCAATGAGAACGGCGAAAATCAAGGAACATCCCCGCAAGTTCCTACCGAACGTGAATCTGGAAGCAAAGAAGGCAATCAGAGCAGTGAGAGCCGCGAAAATCCAGGATCAACGCCGCCGATTCCTACCGAAGGTCAATCCGGAAGCAAAGAGGATAGTCAGAGTAGTGAGAGCCGCGAAAATCAAGGATCAACGCCACAGATTCCTACCGAAGGCCAATCTGGGAGCAAAGAGAATAATCAGAGCGGTGAAAGCCGCGAGAATAAAGTAAGTACACCACAAATTTCAACAGAAAATCAATCCAGAAGTAAAGAGGATAGTCAAAGCAGTGAGAGTCGCGAGGACAGAGGGACGACGCCGCAGATTCCTACAGAAAATCAATCTGGAAGCGAAGAAGGCAACCAAAACAGTGAGAGCTGCGAAAATCAAGGATCAACGCCGCAGATTCCTACGGAAGATAAATCGAGAAGTAAAGAGGAAGGCCAAAGCAGTGAAGATGTCAAAGATATAACTACACAAGTTCCACATTGTCCAGATGGAAATAAGAATGATTCGGATAAACCTGTTTCAGAGTGTACTTCTCCTGGTTTTTTTCCAGATCTTCATGATTGTGCAAAGTATTATAGATGCGTTAAATTGGAATCCAATACCTTCAATAAGTTCGAATTTGTGTGTCCACCTGGAATGATATGGGATGAAGATAAGACAAGTTGTAATTTTGCATGGGCTGTTAAACGGTTATCATGCAAAAGTAAAGAGGGAAATATACCTGAAAAAAATAATGAAACCGACAAAAATGGAAAACAAACTACTACTGACTTTCCAACCTCTACCGAACTTTCGACTAAGTCAACTACTCCTACGGAATTCATTTGTCCTATTGGAAATTTGACTGGAGATCAAATTCTTCTTGTTTGTCCTACTGGTTTCCGACGTCATCCGAAATACTGCAATCTTTTCTATCAATGTACTATGACAAATAGTATAAATGGTAAAATTGTTGTATTTATGTGCCCTGAAGACAGGATTTTTGATGATAAGAAAATACGATGCGTGAAGGATATTCGTAAAATCCTTTGTGGGCATAATAGTTGTAAGAGATTTGATTCTTCAACTACAGATATGCCAAAATCAATCGTGAGTATAAAATATACATTATTTTATTATCAATACATATAAACATTTGAAGATGAAAGAACAAAGCTGAAGAATGTCAAAGTAACCAATTAAATACTGAAAAAAGGTCTTAATACCAGTAAAAAATCTACTGGATAAACATTTTCAAACCTAAAATGTACAAAAACATTTAAAAATTATAGTATTATTTATTATTTGATAAAATGTAAAAAATATGTATAGTATATATTATAGTTGCAATATTTAAAGATGATTGTGTGAAAGTTTGCAGATTTGTTTTGATTCTTCTTGTCTTCAAATTTTCATACATTAAGTTTAAATACATTTAGATAATTTTGTCATTGTGATTTCTGATTAGCACACTTTTCTAATTATTATTAAAATTATTAATATTAAAAAAGAATTTAACTGAGAATTTAGAAATTATGTTTAACTTTATAAAATTATTTGGATAGAACTTTTCCTTGTTTCTTACACCATAAATTTTTTCTTTTTACTTATTAATAATAAAGTACACATATATATGTTCTCTAATGTCCATTGAAAAGTATTTCATTCTTTTAAAACTTTGAATTTAAATATATTTTGATTCAAAGCTTCATTAAAAAAATAAAATAAATAATACTACCAAAACTTTTGATAGTTTTATTATTTATTGAGACTATTTCAATCAATGGTCTAGAATATATTGGAGGAAAAGTAAGAATCTTCTAATTACAACTGTCAAGTATTGATTGATATAAATTTCACACATATCATTGTATCTATTAATGCATCATTCAATTTGCAATAATTATGATATTGCAATTTCTTGTAAAAACATTTATAAAATTATTATTGTCTTACCTGTAAATTGTACTTATGATTAATTTTTATTTTCAGCTACATGTTTCCACAAGGAAATTATGTCCAGGAGAAGGTCATTTTCCTTATAGTAAAGGCTGTTCAAATGTATACTACAAATGCAAACGTGATTTACGTGGTGTACTTCAAGGATATCTCTTTAAATGTCCACATGGAAAGATATATTCATGCAGTTCACGACGTTGCGAACGCAGTAAATATCACTCAGGATGCAAATGGAGAGATAATAATAAAAAAGATAATGGACAATCTGCATTTTCCAAAGGATTGTATATTAGCCATCAAAAGATGTTTTATGTTCGTCCAAAACTACCTTATCTGGAAAAAAATTAATCGTTAATCGTATAAAGAATAGAATATCGTATAAAATCTAGCATTTTTGCATGTTTATTAATATACATAATAATATAAATCATCGTTCAATTTGACAAATGGTTATTGTTAATATGTTTCCAAAATAATATTTTATAAACTTTAATGCTTCCAATGGGTATTATGAAGCAAAATTATTATATATTATATTAAAAAAGATTGTTATAAAGAATTATTATTGATTAACAACAATGAAACTGTTTCCTTCCTATTCCCGCTTTGTCAGCTTTCGGAGATTCTGAGTAAAAAGGATTATATACAGTAGAAAGTCATACACAGAGAAAATTTTATATCAAAAATTACTATGTACGCCAATAGCCGCGGATCATAAAGAAATGATAAAAATTTTTACAATATATATGAATATATATGTAAATAAAAGAAGGTACTTCTTAATTTATTATTTTTTTATATATATATAT